GCGCAGTACTGATTCTCTGAGCTCCCAGCTGAGCGGCTCAGAGAGAGAGAAGTGTCAGTTATTCTCACAGACAAAAAAGAATCTCAGCAAGCTGCAGTGGAGTGAAGGATCACAGGTGTGCACACAGTCAAAGTGCAGCAGAGATGTAAGAGCCGGGAAAGTTCTAAGTAACATGTTTCGTGATGTTTCAGGCGGCTGCAACGCTCTATACCTGCTTTTTCCTGTAGAAGCCACGGGTGTCACAGTTGGGTATATAGATGTCACGGTCAGACTGGAAGATTGTCAGCTCGAGACCCCTCAGGACACTATTAAGCAGCTTGCGGCAGGGTGCCTAAAGATTAAAAAAAATAAAAAATCAGCAATGCAGAATGTGACTTCTTCATCTGAACCTGTCTTCATCTTCAGAGTGACAGTGGCAAGCTGCTAGCTCCCCTCAGGTGGTCGAGTTGGCGGCGACACATGTCGATGTGAATCACAAAGGATTATCCACAGTGATGCAGCATCAGAGCACAGAAGCAGCAGAGGATATGTATATATTTAAATATATATCAAGATGTCACATATTGTGTAACATTATATAACCATATTGTTACACAATGCTTTAGCTTTTCAGGTCACTGGATGGTATGAAGTGACGTGTGCATTTTTATTTTTTTGTGTGTGTGTGTCACTTTGTGAAATTAACTGTGTCATCTTGATCGATTATGTGAATGCAGTTGTTCCCGTCGTGTCATACTGTTAAGGTTCAAAAGCTGAAGATCAATTGGATCGCAGTTTAAAAAAAAAAAAAATCTGAGGCGGCAATGGCCGACTTGAAACTTTCCTGATTCACATCATGCTCAATTAGTTCTGCCGCATAGCAGCACACACATCATGCACCATAATGCATGGCTTCAGGGCAGTGTGTGTACATGCCACTGCAACACCCCAAACAGCTCAGGATCTATGGCAGCAACTCGCTATGATACAATGCAGCCTTCATATACGAGTCTTTACGTCGCATGCCATGTGTGTTACTGCAATCTTGCTGAAAAAGAAAGCCTTAAACGTCTCAGGATTTTGTGAAAAATGTAGTCAGTGATCCATCAGCTTCACTCATTAAGTACTGTAGATTAAAAGCAGGAACTTACTCTTTCAATGTCACCACTGTGTGAGGGATGGGGACCTGATGGGAAACGAGAATGTGATATTAATCCAACCATTAACATCAAACCAAAAAAACCAGTGTCACATTTAACTAAATGTCCCCTGCATAAAGAAATGTACACTCTCGCTTTACATCTCTTGATAAAAGACATCACTGTAACAGATTGGGATCTATCAGAATTGGTCATTTATTAAGAGATCAGATTTTCATCAGTATATCGCCTCTCCAGGTAGTTAATCGCAGTATCTCGGTTTGAACAGTAGATGGAGATCACTGCAACAAAAAGCCGCCTGATCAGGATGTAGGTGACACTGACAGTTGCACATTCATTTGAAAATTTTCTTACAGAGAGACTCACTTGTAGGACAGAGCTCTGTCATGCATCTTTGTCGCTGAAACACATGATCTATAATAATGCTGTACAAACAATATAAATGAGGGGAGAGGCATTTTTCACTTTTAACAGAATTGCAGCAACCAAAGAAGGACATGAGAAGTCTTTTTATGTGATTTGCCGAATTTTGTTTCAGTCTTTGAAAACAGAACTGTCACAAAAAAATGTATTTTTTTAGAGACTCCAACGACAGTGTGCAAAAAGGTTTTGCAAATTCATCTAGTGGTGCACAAAATGCATCCAGGCTAAAATGTCCCACACTAATTGGCCTTTTCCTTTTGACGCTGAGTGACACAGCATCACATGCAATTTCAGAGCAATACAGAACACAGTGTAAATACAAGCCCACCTGCAGTGACCATGCATGTGTCATCTGCAGGCGCATGCATGCATGTGTGTGTGTATGGATGTGTGTACAGTATCTTACCTGTGGGGTGGGGCCTCTCGGTGGGACTTGTCCTGCTGTGCTTGGCGCAAATGCCCCTTCCCTGCAACAGAGCCTGCAGGGGGCTGTGCTCCCTCGGCGGGGGGACACAGCGGAGCCCCTTGGCACAGCTCAGAGTGTACACACCACAGGGCTCTCCCTGGGCCAACACTAACGTGCTGCCAGCAGCGTTATGGTCCCTGGGGGGCCGGCCTGCCCCCAGTGGATCTTTGCAGGAGGGACAGACCTTGAAGGGGCCCAAGCGGTTCGCCCCGGTCCAGGATCCGCAGTGAGCAATCAGCAACAAAGCAACGGTTGTTAAGTTAGAAAGGATAGGCATTTTGTGTCCAGGTCTCAGGTTCGCCCCTCTGTCACTCTCTCTGTCAGTTAAATGTGGCTGATGCTATTTCTGGATGTATATATTTCTCTCTTCTTTTTCCTCAGTCTCTCTCCCGTTTTCTATACAGTAGCTCTCCTTGGTGCTTTGCCGGTTGAGTCCCCTGCAGTGCCAGAGGAGACAAATGGAGATCGAGAG